TGTGCACTTGAGTACAAGTCACAGAACAGTATTCCTAAGTACAGCGTTTTGAGATAATGTTTTTATGTGTTTATTAATTAGCAACGATCTTGAGATACTGATATCGCAATGAGGGCGTATCAAATGATTACGCACTTGAGTTCGTCGTTGAGTAACGTTTATTAATACGGGCCTTAAAGTTTTGTACAACCGACTTCAATATAAATGATTAAGGATTAATCAAAACTACTAGTCAATGCTTGATCAAATGTATATGGGACTACCTGGGAAGTGAAACAAAGAAAAAAAGTTGAAACAAAAAGAAGAATTTTTCCAAATCGGTTCAGGCATCTTCGAGTAATCGGTGAACATACATAAAAAAAGATTCCAACGAATTGAGAACCTCCTCATGTTTGAAGTCGGTTGAAAACATAGGAAATAAAACATCTTAAACGTTATACTTCTTATTACAAACAGTGAATTCGTGTGCTATCATCTCAGATTTAAACTATTGTTTATGAAGAGTCCATCTAACTAAAGAAATCCCTTAACCACGGCGCCACAGTCTTGACGTCAAACTCCATACGTTATTTTTTAATGCGCATATTTCCGCAGGACTTCTTTCATGAAACAGATTCTAGTTTAAACTGGAAACCAATTATAAAGTATTTTTTGTAATAAGACTGTATAAGAAACGAAAATGCTAATTTAAGTACGTGCTCGCATTAAAAAAGAAAGTTGTCTGAGACGTAACGTCACCGAGACAAACAAAAATCGGTAAAATGTTGTTTAGGTAAGCTCGCATTCAAATTTCTTAACAAGACACCATTACAGTACTTTAGAATACATATTGTATGTGCATCGGCAAACATCGGAAAGATTCGTATTGTACATTACAAAAATGATTGGCGAAAGTAATTTGGTCTTAATAAAGTAATTCCAACTTTATTACAAACGAATAAATGTCAATATCATTTCTAAGAACAGCAAATGAGTCAGTTACGACTAGAATTTAACGAGACAGGATGTTCGCCACAGTTTTGTGGAACATACAGAGCTTATCAGCTCTGCATGTTCCACAAAATAGTATAACCATGATAGTGTTTTGTTTTTCAAAGTAAGATGCAAGGCACACATGGCAAACGCTCTGTCCCGGCGAAAATGTTCCACTGGAAGTTAAACAACAAAAACAGTGGGCTATTCCGTTGGTAACGAGTGTGCAGAAAAATTTGTATCATAATTTTCATAGTGACCAAAATCAGGCCCCCCTTTTAGCTGTTTCGACTAAGGAATCTAGTTACTGGCTACACTCTCTACCATCAGGTAATCTTGGCACATTAGTTGTCTAGGAAAGCTTACCCATCGCCCTAAGAATTCGACTAGGAGCGGCGATTTGTCAACCTCATCAGTGTCCCTACGGTAGCAGCGTCGACGAGTTTGAGCTCCACGGACTTTCATGTAAGAAAAGTACAGGTATGTTTTTCCGTCATCGGTTCCTTGAATAATGTTATCCGAAGATCTCTTGTCTCTAAATTTTCCCTCCGTTTTTGAGCCCTACGGAATATTTAGAGACGATGGCAAAAGAACCGAAGGTATGACTTTGTCCCTTGGGACAGAGGTAAAACCCTACTGTGGGATGCTTCTTCCGTAGACACTGGCAGCCTCTCATCTCAAGGGTACCTCGTTTAGAGCCGGGGCGGCATCCGAGGCAGCTGAATTAAGTAAGTGGCGCGTCTCCGAGAGATGACTTCATATTTGTGCCATTTGCTGTAGAGACTATCGGTCCTTGGGGTCCAAGTGCGGTGATGTTCCTCAAATGAACTGTATCCGCGACTGATCGTCACTGCTGGTGATAAGAGGGCTGGTTCTTTTCTCGCACAAAGACCAAGTACAGCCCACTCGGCGAGGAAACGCAGCCAGCGTTCTTGGCACAATACCGCGGGGAGTAGGACTGTATGATAATATTTAAGTTTTTATTTTTAGTTTTTCTTATCATCGTTTCCTAATTAGTAAGTTTGAAATTTGTCAATGTAACGTAAGTTTTATTTATCGACATAGGGTTCTACAATAAGACCTGAAAGATTGTGCTAATGTTAATAAGTATTTCGTAATAATTATTTGGTAAGAGCAGCTCAATATTAAATACCATCGCGATACAGTCGGTCATATACGTTTAGCCGATGCACGATATTTATTCTGATGTACAGCAGAGTGAACGAGAGTGCGCAAGCTTCATACAAGCGTCTCACAACGCACGCACGAGTTAGAATAGGTACATATTATTTATATAACATATATAAATATGTATTTTATATATTTAAAAGGAAACGTGTTTACTACCTAACAAATGCATCTCGGTTGGCTAACGCTGGAGAGTGTTTGAAAGAACTATTATGGATAAAGAAGAAGTAATCAACTAGATAAGTTGGCGTTGCTGTTGGTTTGTATATCTTTATACATATAATTCTTCTGTACGTGTTTGTTACCGAACTCCTCCTAAACGGCTGGAACGATTTTGAAGAAAATTTGTGCGTGTGATTAAGTTGATTCGAGAATGAATTAATTCACAATTGAATCCGGTAGGTGGCACTATACGCATACGTACACGTATATGTATAAAAAGCAGCCTTCGCACGGATGATTTCTGGATCTTGTCGAGATCCAGAAATCATCCGTGCGAAGGCTGCTTTTTATACATATACGTGTACGTATGTACGTGTGTTTGTCAATGAACTCTTAAACAGTTGGACCGAATTTGATGAATATGTTTGTGTATGTTTGAGTGGGTCCTGGATGGATTAGATTCACAATAGGATCCGGTAGATGGCGCTGTTATCGAGATTTAGAAATCACCCGTGCTAAGCCTGGCGGTTCGCTAGTTTGATATAATATTTTGTTATAATTTTGTATTTACTTAACTGTGTCCTATGAATGTATCATAACGTAAAAATCAACATTGATGAATATTCTTTTCATTTAAATAATTTCTCAGATGCAAGCGCGTGATTTTACACTAGTTCTAGAAATGACGCGATGCCCGCTTTACCAGTACTAAATCTCGCGTTATTTTGCCTGTCTGCTAGTGTAGGTAAACACCGCGTGCGTGTGTGTGTGCGTTGCGAGACTTGTATGAACCTTCCGCACTCTCGTTCACTCCAACATTAATAAACTCCATACAATTCATTGTCAAACTCACACCTTATTGTCTTAAATTAATGAATTTGGTATTTTTCTTTGTAAATATCAACACGAACGTTTATTATAATAGAGAGAGAATGATATAAAAGATAGAAGAGGGAGAGAGAGAGAGAAATATACAAATGTTAACACGTATGTTTCAAATAATAAAGAAAGAGTGAGATAGAACTATTTATACGTTAATACTTTGGCAGATTCAAAAGGAACCATCATGAAGATTTAATGTTGCAAATCTCTGAGAGAAAAAATGCCTGACATAGATGTAACTATTACTAACTTCATCGTTAATAACCCGCGAGCAGGTTTGTCATTAACTAGGCCTAAAAACTTATGCTCACTAGATGTCGATAGTCCCACTAAGGTGAACTTATTTATTGCGCAGAATGTCACACAGTATCATCATCGTTGAAATGTTACATTTTAAATAAAAGTTTCGGTTTCTAGTGTATATGTGTACACAAAACAACGCCTTAATGCTGTATGCTTTAATTTTTACAAAGTTTTTTTTAATTCTTCAACTTTAAGGCATATTTTGGTTTTAACCTAATTAGTAAACTGTATAACTAATATTTTAGGAAAAAAAACATCAATCACTCCACTTTTCTAACAATTTATCTTCAAATATTTCACCTCATTCCTAGATGGCGCTACCCTGGTGGCAAATAACGTACCAGCAGTACTAGTAGTACTGCGGGGATTGATACATTGACTTTCTACAATCCTCAAAACCAATAGAAAACTACAAAAATAATGACAATGACATCACACCGCTTGTGATTGCTTTATGAATAAAAACCTTAACACGCTTTTTGGTGTGAATACGTCTTTAAATTTACTTCCATAGTGGAAGGCAATTTAGAAAACTGATGATGATAACAAAATCGGGGGATACATTTTGGTGTTGCAGCAACATATCTATCATCTACATCCAATATTTAATTACACCACTCGATGGCTAAAGGATCAAAGAATTCATTACGTTGAGTGATTGTGACGTCCTCGGTCCCCTCCCCCCCACTACAATGAACATAGCGTGCGTTCCTATCATTATTAAATTTACAAACACATTAATTATTTGTTTACTTAATTTCTTTCATAAACCCGACGAAAGGAAAATGTTGTCATCATAGTTAAACTAAAATTAAAAATTTTCAAAACCCACGAAACAAAACGAGCTGATGATCTTCAAACGGCTGAACAGATTTTTTTGAAACATAGCTGTGTGTGTGTGTGTGTGTGTGTGTGTGCGCGCGTGTGTGTGTGTGTGTGTGTGTGTGTGTGCGTGTGTGTGTGTGTGTGTGTGTGTGTGTGTGTGTGCGTACGTGAGTGCGTGCGTGTGTGAGTGTTATTAAGTTGATTCGAGAACTGTTTATATTCACAATTTTACCCGGTAGGTGGCGCTGTTAACAAGATCTAGAAATCATCCGTGCGAAGCAGGGGCGGAGTTCCATTATCCATCGCTAGTTCCATTATAGAGCAATGAATACGTTTTTTTTTTAACTTGATTTGTATGTAATGTATGTCTGAATTATTAGAAATTTCGCAGCGGAATTTTCATGACTATGGCCTAACATTCTCGCAGGATCATCACAGTTCGTCATCAATTCGTGTTGATTAAAGTATTTCATTCTTATACAATTATAGATTTCTACTAGCTTTAACGATTATAGAAAGTCGACATGACTAACCCGCTGCAGATATAAACGAGCCGCGATCGAAAGTGGTCAGGGTGATTAGATACTGGAGACAAAGGACACGAGTGTCCCAGTGGGGCTGATAGCGTCGTCTCGCTCGCACACAGCGTTCGTTTCCCTCGCACGTTGTCATCCGCGCGCGTGCTGCAGCAGCTCGGTGCGGCTGTCGTTGTGAAGATCGGCCAGCTGCAAGGCTTCTACACACTTGCGACGTTCTGAACTATGCCAGGCTCCGTACGTTATGTAGATGATCAGACCTAAACAGAGAAGGAGACGTTATAATAACTATAGTGGCCGAAATTCGACACCTAATGGTCAAATAATCAAACGCTACTAAATTTTAAGACGTCACTAAGTCTCGTGGTGTCACAGTCACTTTGACTTAAAGTGATAGAGATAGAGATAGCACTTTTTCTTATAATATTGTTTTTATTAAGTAATTCTGAATAATGCTTCCGTAAGTTGTTGCCTAAAATTTAAAGTCAACTAACTGCTCCTGCTTGGAAGAAAATGTGACTTTTACCACATTTTTTGGCGGCATATGGCGGCTCCGTGGCGCAGTGGCTTAGCAATGAGTTGCTGCGTTGAGGGCCGCAGGTTCGAATCCCGCACGGAAGAAGTATTTGTATGACCTACAAATAATTGTTCCGGGTCTGGATGTTTGTCCTTGTGCAATTTGTGTTTGTAAACTGCCTCCACGATACAGGAGAAAATCCTAGTGTGGGGGTAACGTTTTTAAAAAAAATTATTTAGACCTTACAGTTGTGAATCGCATTTAATATCAGGCTATGCCGCCGCCTGCGTCGGTATTTTACGCGGCCAGCATGTATGCATGTATGCTATCACTAAAATTATTTTGAATATTTTTTTTTATAGAAGAGGGGGCAAACGAGCATGCGGCTCACCTGACGGTAAGTGACTACCACCGCTCATGAATAACCGTTGCCGGCCTTTTAGAAAGGAGTAAGCTGTTTTCTTGAAGGTTCCTAAGTCGTATCGGTCTCGAAAAATCTCCAGTGGTAAACAATTCCACAGAGAAGTTGTACGAGGAAGAAAACTCCTAGTAAAAAGTACAGTCGTGGACCGCCAAGCATCCAGATGGTGAGGATGGTATCGAGAATTTTGACGCAATGTGCGTTCGTGACATTTGGCGGCTGGAATTAATCCGAACAATTTCTCAGAGCACTCCCCGTGGTAGATTCGATAGAAAATGCAAAGAGATGCAACATCACTAGGCAGCGCCAGTGAATCGAACCGATCGGAAAGTACTCGGTCGTCGACGATTCGAACTGCTCTGCGCTGGATGCGGTCAATTGGAAGAAGTGGAAGCTGGCACTGGGGTGCCCTTGCCCAGAGATAAGAACAGTATTCCATGTGAGGCCGAATTTGCGCTTTGTAAAGTTGTAAGCGATGTGCCGGCATGAAATACTGTCTCGCTCTGATGAGCACGCCAAGCGAGGCCAATTTGGCCTACCCTTCCAAGTAACTGCGACCCACCACCACACGATACTGCACGCTTTTCGCTATGTCAACGCCGAGGCTTCCGATGCTAGCTGAGGCAGCAAGGGGAGTGCCTTCCCTCCCCGAATGGGTTCCCGCCTTGTCGTGGCGGGGGAGCTTAGTAGCCCTAGCTTGGTCACCCACGGTGAACAAAGAGGAAACCTTTGGCTGGCCCGTGGTGTAGGGCCGGCCCGTGGTGTAGGGCCGGCCCGTTGTGGCCACTCCGAGTGGGCTTGGCGAGCTCACTTCGGATGGGTGTCGGTGGGCTGCGGCGAGAGGGGTGTCCTCTCCCCCTACCGCTGCAGCCGAATGTTAGTATGGCGATGCGCCACTCGTCCTATCCTCCGCGACTCAGACGGGGCCGCACCGTTGATGCGGTGGTGGTGGGGCTGCGGGGGGAGAGGAGTGTCGGTATTGCGAGGCGCCGCTCTCCCTGCCATCCGCGGCTGAAACTTAGTTGGCGGCAGAGCCAGAGACCGGATCTGCCGCTGGGGTCGGGAAAGCGGGTGCTACTAAGCGCTCGATCTTCCTGGCTCCATGGCCTCCGCGTGTCGGGCTCGGGGGGATCCGATACGCAGGTGGAGTTGGAGGCCGTGGAGGGGGCGTGCCTTGTGTTCCTGGTGCGCCTTACCTGAGAAGGAGAATGGGGAGGAGAGGTCCTCCCCCTAGAAGGGGCTGCCATGGGGCGGCCGGCGCTGGTGGGGCCGCGGATGTGTGCGAAAGCGTTCCCGTGGTCCTGCCAATATGCGGCGAAGGAGGAACACCATGGGGTTTTAGTCGGTGCGAGTCCGACATAACCCGTCCTTGCCCCCGCGATGCGGGTATGCGTATGCATTTCGTCATTTAAAAAAGGGGAGTGCCTTGTAACTGAGGAGATACGACAAAGGGGTTCTTTTTAGCGGTAAACGCGCAAAGTTGTATCTTCTGGGGATGGAACTGGACTAGATTTAGTCTCCCCCAATCACTACTAGCCTTACTACAGACTTTGTGCACCAAACACTCCATTTCAGACACAAGTATGTCCCGGTACTCGGCGACATTTTCCCGAGAAATATTGGCACGGCCGGTATATAGGCATCACCAGTGCTGTCTTCTGCATAGCAATGAATGTTACCAGTTTGCAACTTATCATTGATATGCAGGAGAAACAGCGTTGGTGATAGCACGCAGCTTTGTGGAACACCAGCTTTGATAGGCTTGTAATCAGAGCATGCACCGTCTACTACGACCTTGATGCTCCGATCAGCAAGGAAACTGGTGATCTATTTACACAATTTCTCGGGAAGCCCATAGGAAAGGAGGTTGGAAAGAAGCGCTTTGTGCCAGACCAGATCGAAGGCCTTCGCTATGTTCAAACTAACGGCCAATGCCCCCCCCCCCCCCCACCCTTGAACTCGACTGCCTTCGCCCATCTATGAGTAAGGTAGACCAGAAGATCATCAGCTGATCGACCCTGACGAAAACCGTACTGGCGGTCACTAATCAGCAGCAGCATCTTCAAGGTAGCTCATGAGCTGGCAGTTTATAATGGATTCCATTATTTTGGAGAACAAGGAGGTGATTTCGATAGGCCTGTAATTGGACGGGTCTGAGCTGTCGCCTTTTTTAGGGATCGGGTGGACCAAAGCTGTCTTCCATGAATTCGGGACTACGCCTTGGGAGTAGGAGTACCGGAAAAGACACGTTAAAACCAGTGCCAACTCCGGAGCACACGTCTTCAGCACAATGGGAAGGACTCCATCAGGCCTACTCGACTTGCCGACGTCCAGGGACAGGAGTGCTTTGCGAACCGCACATCTGGCATGGAGCACTCACACCGCGGGATGGTCGGCGGTTTGTGTTCCCCCCGTCATCAAGAGTCGAGTTGGACGCAAAGGCAGAGATTAATAGCTCGGCTTTCTCATTTGCGGCATGGGCCAGTGAGTCGTTATGTCTGTGCAGAGATGGAAGAGATGGCTGAAACCTCAGAGTAATAACATACAATAAAGATGTAAAGCTGTTGGTCCTGCACCTGATCTCTGTTCAGTCGTATCGGATTACCGTCCCATCGGACAATGAAAGTGAGGGAATAGAGAGTGCACCTGTGCTTGTGCATACACTGGTGCACTATAATCCTGTTCTACGCAGATAGCTAGTCGCCGTTATGACTGGTCGACGTGACCGATATTCTGTCTCGAAAATATTATTATTATCATTAGTGTCCGACCGAAACAGGATTTTCAACCGAAACCGACACCGAAAACGACCCTTCGGTCTGGGTGTCAGTTTCGGCCGAAACCGAAACCGAAACTTATTTACACAGTTAATTTTTTTATTGTATACTGAAATCTGGTATATATTTATACATATACAGATAGGTAATGCATGTTAATGAAAAACAGTTATTGTAAGTCGTGTAGCAATATATTTATTTATTTTAAAGTAAAAGTCAACAATTTAACGTTAAGAAATATTTTTTGAGTCAATTTTGTAGAAAAATAATTACGCTAATTGAGAACATATTTTATTAGAATAGAATAGAATAGAATGATTTTTATTCAATATGGATTATTACATAATACTTATTGAAAGTCATTATTAAGGTGACACTAGTCGACATTATTTCCATAGAAATTTCGGAGGGGTTTTACTCCGCTATTTGACAGTGTACATCCAAAATTAAACATGATATCGTTTTGTCTCATTATTAAATTTGTCTGTACGGAAACAGAATAGTAAAATAAAATGTTATTAAAAAGTTACGAGCTACCAAAGATTCGTTTTTATTGCCAATTTTAACACAACTTTGGGCGTAAATTAGTAATAAAAGAAGTGTAAAATTTCCAAAACAAAGTCGGTACCGACACAGCCTAATTATCGAAGAATTCAATAAATTTTATTTGTAAGTGATTAATGCAGTGGTTTTTTCATAAAACCCCTTCTTCCAAAGGCGTATTCGTATTTTTTTACGCGCGCATGTTACTATGAATTATCGTGCATCTCACTGAATAATGTTTCCCCCGGTGCGGTGCGGGAGGACGATGCTTACACACACATGCACAGGCGGTGACGCGCGCTTATTCGAGTTTTATTCGAAACGAAAAGTTTTGCTATTTTGTAATTTGGACGCCAAAGACAAAAGACGGCATGCAAATTGATATAATTGAAAGAGATGATGCGTTTTGGACGACAGACAATATTTTAAAATTTTCTTCGGTAATATAATATAATTATAAAAGTAAAAAAAAAGTAAAGTCTATATTCGATTACTACTTATATAAAATTGCAACAATTTCATTGGTGCCGACGGGGATCGAACCCGGATTGCTCGCGTAATGTGATACTTACAGCGAGCGCTAACCATCTGAGCTACCACGGCTCTCAATGCAAGTTTTATAAATAAATAAAGAATTACAAAACAGTTTAATTATTTATTAGACGACTTTTGCGGCGGACAAACAAAGTATATTATGTGGGATTTTCATAGGTACCTACTGTTATTACCTAGATACCTACTACCTACAATACAACAAAATGTCACCAAACGTCGCCGCGTCGTGGCCACAAAATTGTAAACTTTAGGTAGGTACGTCAGTACTAAGAAAACAATCTTGATGGGTCACTTGTCTTGATAAAAACCTGTGCTTACGTTTAGTGATACTTATTGAGTATATATAAAAAAGTAAGAAGACAGGTAAGTAAGTATTTTTGAATTAAATTTATAGGTAGGAGAACTAATTACGATTATTATCTAAATATTATAAATGCAAAAGTTTGG